AGCCAGTTGTCTATGTAGGGGAAGATGGAGATTCCCAGAGTATACAGGTGGGCTGCTGTAGAGAGGCTGAAAGGAAGGGCTTTGATTTCGTAGGCATAGGGTCCTATGGCGAATCTGAGAAATTTGCGATGGTCCTGGTGAATGGTAATGTGGAAACACACATCGCTTAAATCTATAACTGCCAGCCAGTCGTTTTGCTGAAGAATGGGTAGGATTCGTTCTAATGTAACCATACGAAAACGTCTCAGAATGATGTAATAGTTGAGGACCCAAAGGTCGAAAACAGGCCACAGACCGCCATCTTGTTTTGGAATAGTAAAATAGCAGAAGAACCCTGGATCGCCTTCTGAAGGATTGACCGGTGATATGGTGTCCTTTAGGAGAAGATACTGAATTTCTTGTTTGAGAGCAATGGATGGTTAGGTTAGAACGAACCTTGGTGGAGGTGGGAAAATTAATTCTATGGCATAACCTGTAGCAATGATGGTGAAGACCCAGGAATCGGTGGTGATAGATGTCTAAGATGGAAGACAGGTGGAAAGATGAGTGGTGGTGGAAGGAAAAAGGTAAGTAAAGCGGATCTGGGAGATGGAGAAGTCAAAGATTCTGCTTTTCTTTCTTTTCAGGGCAACGAAAAAACTGTTTGGGGCGTTGACGTTGTGTCCCGTGTTGAGGTTGGAAGGAAGGGGTAGGCTGTGAAGAATACTTATTCCTGTCAGTAAATGATCTGGATTGTTGGTAAGAGTAAGGGTTGCACCACTGATACCGTTGTGGTCTGTAGTATAGTTGGTGTGGTATGATTGAGCCGTTTTTCTTAATTTCTGCAGGTGGTTCACTATGTCATTGTTTTTTTATCGAATAGTCCAGTACCACTGAACAGTAAGTCTTCGATTCTCACACAAACATCATCTAAAATATGGGCTGATCATAGCCAGGCATGTCTATGAAGGGCTACAGCAGTAGCCATGTGCCTGGATGACCCTTCAATAACATGTCTGGCAGTAATACATTCTTGACATGCGAGGGCTGTGGCCTCCTGGTGGAAAGCGAGGCCATGGGCTTTGTATTCCCCAGAAGATGATTGAAGTGAAGGGAGAACTTTATTCCAGAGATAACGATGATAAGCTCCCATGGCTGCAAGATGTCGAGAGCGCTTAAGAGGCGGCTCATAATACCGTGGAGGCTCATACAGCATGACCCATTTTGGGTGGCGGTATCAAGTAGGAGGCTCTCAGGATGCTAGAGACCCAGTTAGAGTACAGGCTTGGCATCGGAATGGCACGTGTCTGACACATGATGGGTCTTTCTTAACCGCTTGCACGGAGGTGATATGTCGGGTAGGGATATACCAACTTGGAATCACCAATACTGTAGAGACGGAGCAATCTGTGGATTTGGGGCTTGACTGTGCTGATTGAGGAAGGATGGTAATGGCAACCAAAGTGAGCACAGAAGATGGAGACTGTGCCAGCAGCGGAGATGGTTGTTGACCAGAAGAAGGAAGAAGGGTCTCTTCTGGAGAGTCAAGGTGGTCTAGGATGGTCCTGTAGTGGTGTCTTGTCCGGTATCGGCCTGTGTCTGAATTGACGAGAATTGGTGGGAGACGTCTTCGTTCTTTTGTTTTTTTAATTTGGAGTGTTCCAATACTGAAGGGGGATTCGGTACCAAGGTGGACTTTCCTGAATGCGAAGATTTAGACTTCGACTTTAGCTTGGTCTTTGAAATAGACTTAAATGTCAGAGAAGTGGTATTTGCACCCGGAGATTCTTTAGGGGGCTGAGATGTTTGAGACAGTTCCATAGTCTGAGTTGGTAGCAAGGAACGTTCCCAGAGGAATGACCTGAGATGCTGTTGTCTGAGTTTAAGGGCTTGTTTAGTGAAATTCTTGCAGAACTGACAAACAGAAGGCTGGTGAGACTCCCCCAGGCAAAAAAGAAAGAGATCATGACTGTGAGGGGAACTTTGTTGGAGCATGAGGTGCACCTTTTAAACAGGGGAAAGGGGGCATAAATGGTGGGGAGGGAAAAATGGGGGGGATAGAGAAAAATTTCTCAAAAAGTCTCTTACAATTTTCCTTTGATTGTATAGAAGCTGGAAAGAATCACTCAAAAAAATCTTTTCCAGTTTCCCTCAGATTAAAGAAGCAATGACGAATGGAGTTTGATGATAGGACAGACCTCAGCAGTAGCAAAAAGGAACTGAGGTAACTGCCAGGACGGGTGGACCCCATGTTCTAGGGGGTGGTCCTTTACGAACGTATCATAAAGCTCTAGAATATTCCGGAGACCTCTGTGCAAGCGCAGATTAAACCCATTCGTGTGCATTCAAAGAGACCACAAAGAAGAACATTCTTCATTGCCAAATCAGAAGTGGAAGCCACAGTTTGAACTGGACTTCAATTTTTCTCAACTGAGCCAGGAACACCAACTAACGACCAGCCACACTAACACTTATTAATATTAGTCTTGCACTATAAAGACTAGCAAATTTATTGTAACATTCCAGAGGATGTTATTCTGCCATACCAACACTGCCTTATGGCATCATATGAAGTAAACAACAATGCTATTTTATGTGGTTTCATAGACTGTAGCCCACTCCATCACGAAATGCTATTATCCAGAATTTCAGGTACACGCATGTAATGTGGTTGGAACTACAGATGAGTGCAATTAAAAGCAGAAAAATAACAACCATTATTAATAATATTAATGACAATTCACAAAATTGTTGGTAAATGTGTCTCTAGTAGCAGACTATTATTAACTATTACTGCAAATGTTCTTGTGAACTACAGTCAGCTTAATCAGATACATCAAATGTTCCTATCTAAATTGCCATTATATGAATCTATGGAAGATACCTAGTGTGATGAAGTGATGGAACTGGTAAAAATGATCACCTAGCTCAGTAGAGGGCAAAGTGCTGTTTACATAATTAAGCTGTAAACCAGAGGTCCCCAAACTCCTGGTCCACGGGTGTGGTGCTGGTCTGTGGCCTGAGCTGGACAGGGCCACGGAGACAGACCTCCCACCCCACCCCCTGCACGCACTCACCCCTGCACAGCTGGTTCACACACATGCTCCAGCATGCCCGCACAAGCAGCATGCACTGTTTGTGCATGCGCACACTCATTCATTTCCACATGTACATGAGCGCGGGGGTGCCTCGCCTTCCCCAGCCAGTCCGTGGGCTGGAAAAGGTTGGGGACCCCTGCTGTAAACCACCCAGAGAGTGCTGTAGCACTACAGGGCTGTATATAAGTTGAAACAACAACAGCTAGGACTTGGGAGGACGGGGTTTGAATCCCCATTCAGCTATGAAAGCTCACTGGGGGTGTAGAATTGGTTAAGTCACTCCTTAAATATCTCACTTTCCTTGAAAGCCCCATCAGTTTTGCTATACAGTTGGTTTCAACTTGAGAGCACATATCAAAAAACATATGGAGGGGGGAACTGTGAGGTCAGAAGGAACTGAGATGATCCGTATTTACTGTATTTAGAATGGAGTTCCTCTTAGTCAGGTTTTTAGCTTCAAACTTCACTTTGTCAATGTTTGCTGACACACTGTTATTACTAGTTTAGTAATTTCCATTTAAGTATCCTCTCACTTAACCAGTGCAGAAGTGGAATTAAGTAGTACTCAATTCCTTTTCCAACACATACACATAGAACTGCACTGAACATAGGATAATGACCAAAGCATGAGAATCCAACACCTACAGAAGTTATTAAAATTGTGCTTCCTGTTTATATAGAGAAGACTAATTTGCATTAAAGGAGGTAGCCAAGATGCTGCATCTTCATTCCCCAAACAAGGATCTTTCAATGTATTTACACACTGTTGTTGAAAAGGACTAGTTTCTACACATAAGTGGTTTAAATTACGAACACCAAAGTGGTTTCCCCCTCTCCTTCCAAAAGTTCTATGCTACATCCAGATCTGACCAATGTTGAAGTTGGCTTTTAGCTGGCTTACAGTTATGGTGCAGGAAATAAGAAAAAATTAGTTTTTCTCCCCTCATAACACAATCCTGTATATAAAACACAGCTTTGTTCGACTTTACGTGCTCACTACTTAACACACCTCATCTGTTCTGGGATGAGAAAAGACAAGTGCTTGCAGAAGAAGAGAGAAAGGCAGAGGAACAGGAATCAGGGAACGCAACAGCTTGCGATGAGAAAAGACAAGTGCTTGCAGAAGAACAGGAATCGGGGAACGCAACAGCTTGGAATGGCGATGCACCTCTGGAACAGCGGTAGGATGGTAAAAAAAGGGTCACAGGACCACAGAAAGTGGATTTGGGTATGTTAGAGAACGATTCCACCAAGGCAAGTTGTTTTCGATGTAAAAAGGAAAATAAGAAAGCCCAAAGAGGAAGGAACACATGAACGGGTCGGAGATTTTAGGAAGGCTCGGCAAGGAAAAGATGCGTGACAATCTCACGGCTAGACGAGGGACGCGGGGCCACAGGAGAGTTTCCCTGGAGCAACTTCGGGACACATTTTACAGCGGCATAAGTTGGAGTAAGATAACCGCCCGCTTCAGCCGAGAGGTGAAACGGCCTGGAGGAGAGGAGGAGGCACGCACCCGCCGCGGCGTCCCCGTGGACAGGGCGGGAGAGCGGTCGCTCCAGGACCCCAGGAAGCCTCTGGGCAGGAAAGGGGTGACGGGGCAGGCGTTGAGGAGAGAGGGTGGGAGATAGCAGAAGCGGATTTGGGGTGGGCAGAGAGGAACGAGCGGGGCATAAGAGGCTACGGCGGAGCAGCCGAGGGAAGGGGCCAGGCGGAAGCGGAGCGTGTGGGGCTGAAGGGGAGGCGCGGGAAGGAAAGGGCTCCCCGAGAGGGGGCTGGAAGGGTGGAAAAGGACGCGCCCCGGTCCTAGACAAGCGCGGGAGGCGAGAAACGCCCCCCCCGGCCGCTCCTCGCGCAGTTTTGTTGGCTGGCTGCCTCTCCTACCGCCCCGGCCGCCCGCTCTCCCAATAAAGGGCCAGCCGTTACCTGTGTCAAGGAGAAATGAGTGGCCATGCTGCTTCCATCATGCACCGGCCGCCCAGGAAGGAAAGCAGCCCGAAAGGCCCACTCGGCCGAGGCAGGCGCTGGCGACCTCCCTCCCGCTCGCCTCGCTCACTCGCTCGGCCCAACTTCAGCAACTTCCCGAGCCGCTCCGAACAGGCCCCGCCTTCCCGCGACGCGCGGCAAATCCTGGCGCCGGATCGGCTCTCGGCCGCTCTTCTCGACCGGAGCCACCTCTCTCGACCGCTGAACTCGGCCTCAGAGCGCCGCCCGCTCGTCTGGGCCGAGCGATCTGGCGGCCAGGAAAGGCCCGGATCGGCCTCGGGAGCTAACAAAAACAGGGCTTCTTTCCCGGGAGATCCTCGGGCTGGCCCATCTTCCTCTCTTGAAGGTTATGGTATAAGCAGAGGCCGTGCGTGTGTCTACTCGAAATAAATCCCCCTAATTTGAAATGGGTCTTACTCCCGAAGTAGGCATGAATAACTGCAGGGAGAGCCTACAAACCGCTTGGTTCAGGAGGCATCCTGGCAACAGGAACAGTGAGTAATAGGCAGCAAGCCCCAAGTCATTGCCTGCCCATATCTAAACCTTTAAATTCAAAATAAACCATCCGTGAATTATCCTATGCCTTTCTCCTTTTTGTTTCGCATACTGTACTTATGTTTCTCGACCATTTCCGGCATTTAAGAGCATAAAACCGTACCCATCTCCTCAGAAATAAGTCTAAAATTAAGTTCAGGAGTGCTTGCTTAGGTCAAGTGGTGAATGTCAGCTTGATTGACTCCCTCATTTTCTTCATCCCGAGACAGTTTTTGCTTTAAGACAGTGGAGTTGAGTTTCACTTCTTATATATACTTACATAAACCAGTGTAATTTTTTGACATTTGCTGGTTCTTGCCCATCATCATTTATAAGTACGGCTGCAAAAATAGAAATTAAATGCAAACAGAATTACAGTGCGTTTCATTCCAGTGAGGAGTCTTTTATTAGCTGGCCCATCTGTCCAGTTTCAAGGTCCCTGATTTGTATCAGGATTTCGTATCTTTTCAAATAGATTTTCAAAAAGAGGGTCATCCTCTGGCAGCTTTTCAAATAGATTACTGTCCTCCCTAAAACAAGATAAGTGGTCACCACAATCTAAACTAGTATGATAAATCCCTTTATTAGCTCTAGTATTGGCTGGATAGCTGTTACTAAGCTAGAGGTCAATACCCCATTGTGGTTCATGGGAGAAGGACCAGCCTTTGTAGCCTTGGGCAAGCAGCATAGTCCCACGGTACCACCAGAAGGGAGTGGTAAGTATTCTATATCTGTGATCCTGGAAAGGATCACAGCAAGTTGGAATTGGCCTGGTAGCTTCTTTTTCTTCTTAGTACAGTAATGCAGAATTGAAAATCAGTTTATGCTCAACGCATTCTAAAGTATATTACTTCCATTTTTCACACTGGATAAAAAACATACTGTAATTGGTTTCATAGACTGTGAATGCTTATGCTTTTGCCCTAGTTTTCCTTTAATGAGCTAATTAACTGTGTATTCTGTAACAAAGTGAAAGTAGGTAATACCCAAGAGTTTTGTGGTTCATATGATTTAACTAGTAACTTTCCTGTTCACATTTGAACCAGAGTCCTGTACCTCCTCATGAGTTTGTCAATGTTCAATTACACATAATCCTAATATGTGGAATTGCTTCAGTAATTAAAAATGATAATAACAAGTAAATTCCAGCAAAAATTATATTTAAAGGTAGGCCATGTTCGCTATAGGAGTTGTAGGCCAGTAGATATAATGGCTACAGTTGTACTAAAGTGTCCTAACCCACTTATCTTAGGCATAATATCCATTTTCAAATCTTTTCCCTTGGTCTCAGGTGTGACAAAATAGGGTAGACAATTTTCAGGGTGCTTTACTTGTCCATATAGTTTATTGTATTTCTATACTGATCTCAGAGTGGGACAGACTTGAAACACAGTGTTTATGTTGCTGAATTGCTGGGTTTGTCATGAATTTGTTTTGAAACCAGAATTAAATTTGGGTGTTAAACATTTGGGATAACTATGCAGGAAACAAACATAATTATATGTGAATGCAAACTAAATATTTTACATGATTAAGATATATAATTTGTATACCACAAATACGGAATGTACAAATATTTGCCATGTTCCTGGGACGTAATATATTCGTCCATTTGTTTGTTTTTAAAACATTGTGGATAGGCCTTTTATGTGTCACCCTCTAAATCCAAGTACTAAGCTGTTTCAGTTCTATACATGTGTTTGCTGTCAGTAACAGACTTGCTGAGGGTGAAAACTGAAAGCTAATTCAAACACAACAGAGGTGCTCCTACTTTGTCAAAAAGTGTATGAGGAAATATAGATCCAAGTGGTGCTGGATGGGTTTACATTCCTCCTGAAAATTCAGGTTCACAGGGTGGTTATACTCCAGGACTCATTGCTGAACCTTGATATCCAAGTCTTGGCAGTAGACCGAAATTAAACTAGGGCACCAGATAGAGTTGTCTCATGTAGCTAATGACATGTCCCTTGGTTGCATCCCACTGGGATTACTGTAATGCATTCTATGTGAGAAATACTTCGAAACTTAAGTGGGTCCAAGATGCTGCAGGCAGACTGCTGACTAGAAATGGTTAAAGGGAGAACTAGTTCCTTATAACCTTGTAATACATTCCATTGATTCAAACGGGCCTATTCTAGTTTTAACTTACTATGTTCACCAAATCTCCACTGATTTAATTACAGTGGTGCCTCGCTTAATGACAATAATCCGTTCCAGGAAAATTGCTCTTAAGCGAAAACATCGTAAAGCGAAATTTAAAACCCCATTGAAATGCACTGAAAACTATTCAATGCGTTCCAATGGGGTAAAAACTCACCGTCCAGCGAAGATCCTCCATCTGGCGGCCATTTTCGGTGCCTGTATAGCGAGGAATCCGTCCCTAAACACAGCGGGGAGCCATTTTAAGCACCCGGTGGCCATTTTGAAAACCCGACAATCAGCTGATCGTCATAAAGCCAAAATCAGTTCCCGAAGCTGATCATCGCTGAGTGACATCCCCCCCATTTAGACCATCATTTTGTGATTGCAAAAAGATCATCGTAAAGCGGATTCATCGTAATGTGGGGCAATCGTTAAGCGAGACACCACTGTAGCTTACTTGAGTGCAACATATGACACTAAGCAGCAGGATTTCAGCCACTGTAAGCCAGCTTTCATTTTAAATTGCTATTGTATACTGTATACTGTATTTATGTTTTATACTAGCAGAGCCTTCTCTGGGCACATGTTCCATAAGTCACCATTGAGAAATATTTACCCATCCTCTGATCCCGGATTTCTGCACTCCCCTCTGTTGGTGCAGTGTTCCAGTTGCAGGACCAGTAAGTATTTCACTTTACTTTTTAACTTTACTTTTATTAGATTTTTACCCTGCCCCACTAGACAAAGTCTACTCGGGGCGGCTTACACACGATAAAAACAACAATATAATTAAACATCATAAATCCATTAAAACAACATAGTTTTAACACTTATATTAAATCATTGCCGAGATGAAATAATTAAAAAGATAGAGTGGTCCGGTGGGCCAGACAGGCGGGGTATTAAATAAATAAATAAATAAATAGATAGATAGATAGATAGAGATCAGTTAATTGACTGGAGGGAAGGCCTGCCTAAAGAGCCAAGTTGTTAAATGGGTTTTAAAAACACCCAATGAGGGTGCCAAACAGATTTCTGTTGGGAGGGTGTTCCATAGCTGAGGGGCCACTGCTGAGAAGGCCGGGTTTCTTGTTCTTTCTTTCCAGGCCTCTCTCGGTGTTAGGCCCCTCAGCCATCCCTGCTGACTATGCCAGGTGATTTGGGTAGATCTAGGTGGGAGAAGACAATCTGCCAAGTATCAAGGTCCCAAACCATTTAGGGCTTTGTACGTCATCATTAGCACTTCGAAGTCAATGCAGAAATAAATGGGCAGCCAATGCAAAGCAGCCAGAGTGGGGGAAATATGCTGATATTTCCTCACCCCACTAAGAAGCCTGGCTACCACTTCTCTGTCAATACCCCTAGGAGAAAAGAACAAGCATTTAACCCTTACAGTGCAGGAGCAGGTTTTTTGTGTGTTGTAGTTTGGGCACTTGGAGTCAAAAAGGTTTGCCATAACTGTTTTATAAGAAACTAAGATGATATGGCTTAGAGGGGAGTGTAAAATAAGTTGTACTTCATTGATTTGAATGACTCAACATTCTTGGGATTAGATAACTCACTTAAGAGAATATGTACAATTAGAATGCTTTTAAGTTATCTGCTTTGATTATGGCTTCTATTATCTTCAAAGAGATTAACACAATACACATGATAAGGAAGAATATGGCATGGGTTTATTTTGGACACCTTAAATAAGTAGAGATGATGATAGATAGATGGCTTTCCACATACTACATTATTTAGGGAGATAAAGGATCTGAAGTTATATTCTTTCAATATAATGGGTTGAGGCAACCCTGTAAAGGATCAGCTGGGTGTGAAGAAGAAAAAAGAAAAAGAAATAGTTTGGAAAGCCCTTTTAAAATTCCACAGGGAAGTTGATTGTCTTGGGACAGAGTTTTGACTTTACCATGACATGTTGACATACTGTGTAGGGCAGTATATTTTTGTTAGGGCTTTGGATGAAAAGATGTTCACATTGTGCTAAATATACTACTCAAATAAGAAACAATTCTACTTTCTGGATGAACTGTGTAATCTGTTCAGAAATTCCAGGAATATAGAAGTTCATCTTGGAGATAACCAGATCCATTTTAGGCAATTTAAGCAACAAAGTTCAACCCTAGGCAATGCTTCCCAACCTTGGATTTTAAAATATTTTACTTCAGGCTCATTGTGTCTCAGCCAGCAATGCCAGTGGTCAGGAGTTCTAGTCAAGAGTACAGTATCTGGGAACTGAAGGCTGTGAACCTCTGTGAAAAGAAACACAATTTTGGACTGATGGAGACATCTAGGTTACTGATAAGCCACATGTATGTTGTCTTTCTGCTCTGCTGAAATAGTACAATCTTGTAAACACTTGCTAGAAAATAAAACAATTGTCCAAAGGGTCTATTTGTCCTAGTGTAATACATACTCCTATATGGAGTACATAGCTGACTTTTATATTATGTTGAACACCTATATTGATACCTTAACAGTCTCAGATGTACTCTTGTAATATAAATGACTCAAACTTATAAAAATTATTTTTTCTTCTTGGGGATTTGTCCTTTGTCAACAAAGTAGATGAAGCGCAGTCGAGAGCTTAAAAATATTAAGCAATGCTTAACAGTTTAATTTCCAGCTGCTTCAGTCCACCTTTATTTTATATATCATGGAATGCAATTTCTGAGTCAATCATAGAATAATAGAGTTGGAAGGGGCCTATAAAGGCCATCAAGTCCAACCCCCTCCTCACTGTTGAGCTACTGGAATTAACTGTTGACATCCTTGCATTACCCAAGTTGCTTTCACTCATATAAGGAACAGGCAACTTCTGGAAGTAGGCAGGCCACTGAGGGGCTGCATGATGCCACTGACAAGACAACCAGAATTTCCCTTGGAATCAAAGCAGACATTTTGCAGGTATTGCTTTAAAAGAGGCATATGCTTACTTTCCACCTTTTACTAGTATGCAAAACTTGTTTATCAGGATTTTTTATCACCACAGCATTTCAGAGTTTCAATAACATATATTTAGAAAATAAGTACAATATTTAGAAGTTGAACTATTTTCAACCAAAGAACAGCTCATGACCATACTGAATGAGAGTAGTTATGCAACAGTTTTGTGTTTTTTTTTTTTTTTTTTTTTTTGCTGGTTAGAGTTCATCTTTAACATTGGAACCCTTTCCCTTCTTTTCTTTCTTGGTCTCCTTTCCCTTTGGTTCTTCCTTTTCATTAATTTTGTTATACACTACATCTTGCCTCTCCCTTCTCTTCCATTCTCTCTCCTGTTAATCAAAACAAATATGTGATTAAGAAACCTCAGAACCTGGAACAAGTGTTGATGGACAAACTTTGTATATACAAAGCACATATCTTCAGCAATGTTTATTTTTCAAGCACACTTGTTATCTAAAAACTGAAATCTTCATCAGTCATTCTCACTTCATACTCATCACTACACAAAGACACAGGAGAAATTAAATGTTACATTGATCAACCATGGTATGTGTAATTTGTGCGAACAAATTGCCAATTATGTATTTATGTAAATAAAATCACTATGTGTAACTTTACATGAGTAAGATAATATGTCCTTCATAGGATATGGTAAGTGTTTTAGCTAGGTAGTGTCAAATAAAACTATTCTTATTTCTAAAACAACATTGCAGGGGCCAACATCCTATTAAATGTGGAGTGGAAGTGCAACTATGTAAGTGCCCCCCTGGTCACTGATCTCTGAAGCACTGCAAGAACAGGCACACATAGGGGAAACTGAAGGAGGAGGAGAACATGTGTTCAATTGTCTTTCCAATTTGGTTTCAGAAAATAGGATACTGGCAAGTATATTTTAACTACCTCATCCAAGAACAGTGAATACGTGCAAAAGTTAACATGTATTATTTACTATTTGCATCTAGGGGGAGTAACCTTGTTCAGTTTGTAGGCTGAATTAAATTTCAAAGAAGTTTTCAGGGGCCAAATTCCAGTGGTAGGTGGGGCTAAAAGAACCGTGTGGAGAATGGGGAATTCAGATTTAAAATTTAAGCTTCAAGTTCTTTTTATTAGTAATTAACAATAACTACATAATATCTGATCAATTCTGACATATAGTGACCCTTTCTAGGGTTTTCTAGGGAGAGAGTACTCAGAAGAGGTTTACCATTCCCTTCTTCTGGGAGCATCATGAGACCAAGCAGCTTGCTCAAGGCTATACAGGCTGGCTTGTCTCCTGGGATGCATAGTTGGGAACTGAAAACTTTGGCTCTGCAGCGAAAACCTAACTCACTGAATTATTTAGCCAGCTCCTATTAGTAATTAGGCATTGGGAAATGCATTTCAACTTTCTAAAATGAAAAATGGGGATATAAAAGCTAGGAAACCATTAAATAAGGGCATCACTTTGAATTGCCTTGAACATAATGCATTTCTCACTTCATTTAAGGTAAAAGCCATTGTTGCAACACTTTGAGCATCATTTTGCTTGCATGGGAAATTATAGCAATGGTCCTCTATTTACTGCACTCCTTGGCATCTTATTTCTTGTTCAAGCAAGATTTCAAAAAGGAAGATGCACTCAAGACCATACTGCAAATATTTGCTGGTTACTGGGGCACACCAGAGAGTTTCACAAGAACATCAGTCTATGCTTTATGCTTTTGACTGTTTAGATCATGAAAAACTATGCGCAGTTCTTAAAGGAATGGGTGTGCCTCACCACTTACTTGATTGTTTTGATTAGACATGGGCTATTTGTATCCATATCTCTGGGGATATGAATAAAATCTCAGCATCACAGGTGCCATTTCCTCCGCCAGAACTGGCCAGTCCACTCACTGTTCATAGTACAGCGCTCAGCTCTGTCACTATTGTCATCGTGCCAATCACAGAAGGAGCCTGGCTGTCTTTCCCACCTCCTTTCACAGCTGACCACCATGGTATGGAGGTGGAACTGGGAGTCTCCCTGCTCAGCTGATGAGTGGTCAGCTGTCTGGTGAAGACAGGTTCCTTCTGTGATTGGCACAACAATTATGATGATGGAACTGAATGCCATGCTGTGAATGATGAGTGGACTGGCCAGTTCTGGGGGAGGGAATGGGCCTCTGTGGCACTTGCAGTGCTGCAATTCATATCTGTATCCCCAAGGATACGAATATGAACAGCCCATGTCTGGTCTTGATGCATAACTTATATTTTGGACAAGAAGCTACCATTAGGACAGAATATGATTTCCTATAGGCCAGTGATGGCAAACCTGTGGCATGCGAAGCTCTTCTGCCACGCGAGGTATTGGCCCACCTGCCCTCCCTTGTGGAGGCAAACGTTATGAGGTGGCTGCAGCCAGGATTCCCCCTTCCGCTGCCACTTCCTGGTCCTTTGGGTCCGTCACTATGATTCCCCTTAAACTTCCTATTCCTGGTCTTCTGGGTCTGATGCTACGATTCCCCCTTAAACTTTCTGTTCCTGGTCCTCTTGGTCTGTCACTATGATTCCCCCTTAAACTGCCACTTCCAGTTCTGGTTCCAGTCTTCCGGGTGGCACGACAGCCACTGGTTTCTTCCCCCCCCCCAAAAAAAAAGGTTTGCCACCACTGCTATAGGCAAAGGGGTCAGACAAGGGTGCATTTTATCCCCTTAACTGTTCAATCAGTCTACAGAACATATCATATGGAAAGATGAAAGAAGAATGAAAATTGGTGGAAGTATCAATTTAAGATATGCAGATGAAACCATCTTACTGGCAGAAAGCAACTATGACTAGAAACAGCTTTTAGTGAAAATAAAAGAAGACAGTGACAAAAACAGGATGGCAGCTGAACATCAAGAATACCAAAATCTTAACTACAGAAGTATGTAAGAGCTGAGCAGGTCTGTTGAAGAGAAGATGTAAGGAGATCACTAATTCATAGGGTCACTATAAGTCAAAACAGCAACAAGAACTGTAAATTGATCATAGCCATATGAGGCCAACAAGTTGTTTTTGTTACAGAAGAAGCACTCACAGCTTGAACAATGGAAACAAAAGTGTGATAATATTGTAAGATCCAAGATACCACTTATGATATGAGAACTATGATTATTAAATTCTAACACTAGTAGTGAATTCTATTTTAAAAAAATACTATGCAGTTACTTACATATGTGACACCCCACATTTCATTTCCAGCATCTTCAGCATATTTTTCATCATTTGTGATCAGAAAATTATCGAAGATTGTACCTGACTTTCCCTATTGGATTTAAAAAAACCAGAAATGCAAAGTCATTTAATGGCTTGCAATCATAGCTTGGTTTTCCCGTTCTAAATTAATTTGGGAAGCATGGTCCTTAAAAAGAGAGGTTACCTATCTGTAACCTTGGTTCTTCTAATGGTCCTATGTGAATCCACACAACTGGGTTTAACCTGCGCTTGCGCTGGATCCTCAGAATATTCTAGAGCTTAAATAAGAAACATAGTAGTACGTTGTCCTCTACCACACACGCTCCACCCTCCCATGTACCTCAATTCCGATTGTCCGCCATTGTCAAAGCTATGAAAGCTAAGAACGTAAGTGACGGACAGCGGGGAGACCGGGCGGGATGTGTGGATTCACAAAGGGCCACTAGAAGAACTATGGTTACAGATAGGTAACCTCTCTTTCTTCTATGTGGCCTCCGTGAATCTACACAACTGGGTGACTAGCAAGCTCACTTACCAGAAGGTGGGCTGTCACTCCAGCACCGAAGTCAGTACCGTTCTCCCAAAACTTGTTTCCTTCTTAGCCCCGATAGTCCAATACTGAGTAACAAAGGTGGATGGTGTAGACCATGTAGCTGTTCAGCAAATGTCTGAGATGTCAATACCATGCATCAGGGCTGTTGAAGTTGCCGTTGAAGGTAGAATGTACCTTCAGTGGCTCTGGCGGGGTTTTACCCGATATAGGCCATATTTATTGTAGACACAATAAGAGAGCCTTTATGAGGACCATGGAAACAAATGAATAACTGGGAAGAGGTGCGAAATTCCTTAGTTCTAGAGGTATAAAAAGCCAAAGCACAGCGAACATCTAACGAGTGGAGCATGCGCTCAACATCTGAAAAGGGATTAGGAAACAACGTAGGTAAAGTCAATGGTTGGTTGACATGGAAACTTGAAACAACTTTAGGGAAAAAGGAGATATCACTTTGTCTGGGAAAAACTGCAGGTAAGGTACATCAGCCCTAAGAGTGGCCAGTTTGCTTGCCCTTCTTGCAGATGTTATTGCAATGAGAAACAAGGTTTTGAATGACAACAGTCTGAAATCAGATGAGGCCATGGGTTCGAAAGGCAAATGCGTTAGGGCTTGCAATACAACCTTTAAGGACCAGTGAGGCAGAGGTGGACAGGTGGGCAGGTGGATATTTTTCAAACCTTTCAAAAACAGTTTCAAAGTAGGGTGCGAAAACAATTGGGAGGATTCAGATCCCAGAGGCTGGTAGAATACAATAGCCAAAATACTGTATATACTTTAAGGGTAGAAAAGTCCAATCCTTGGTCAAAGAGGTGATGTAAGAAAGCGAGAAGAGTATCAAGGGATACTGGTACAGTTTGTAGGTTGTGTGATTCTGCAAATTTCAAGAAATTGCCCCATTTATATAAATATAAAAGCTTTGTGGAGGGTTTTCTGGCTTCGTCCAAAACCTCTCTAATCATGGTAGAATCCTCCACGCTGCTAAGTGCAGGGATTGAAGATCTGGGTGACAGTTCTTGACCGCGTCCTGAGTGAGCAGATGTGGTAACGCTGGTAGCCGGAGAAAATCAGATGCCATCAGTTTCAGAGTTGGAAACCATGGTTGCCGAGGCCACCATGGGGCGATCATGATGGCATCGGCCTGAGTTTGAAAGATTTTGATTATGGTTCTCTGAATCAGCGGGATGGGAGGGAAGAGGTAAAGAAGATGGTTTTTCCATTCGATCATGAAACCATCTCCTACTGCAGCATTGCCCATCTCTGCCTGGGAGCAGAACATGCCACATTTGGTGTTGAGGTATGTTGCGAACATGTCTACTTCCGGTAGTCCCCACCATCTGCAAATCATGTTGAAGACAGCATCGTCGAGTTGCCATTTGTGTGTTTGGACGTTCATTCGACTCAGCGTGTCTGCCACTCCGTTGTCTTCTGTGGATATATGAATGGCCACAGGAAAAACGTGATGTACATAACACCACTCCCATAGATGGACTGCCAAGTATAGGAGCGACATCAAATGTGTGCCTCCCTGTTTGTTGATATAGTATATGGTCATGGTGTTGTCTGTGATCAATTGAACACCATGACCTGCTACCAATGGACGGAAGGAATGAAAGGCTTTGATGACAGCCCACACTTCTAGGTGATTGATGTACAATCGTGTCTCCTTCTTGGACCAAAGAGCGTGAATTTTGTGGGGGCTGCAGTCTCTACGTAACTCACAGCGCTACATAACTCACAGTCTCTACGTAACTTACAGTTTACAATCCAAGTAACAATGGATGCAAGTCTCACAGGGAGACTTGCAACCATTGTTATTTGGATTGTAATCTGTAAGGGTCAGAATGGGCGTCCTATTATCAGGTTTGGCATGAATATCCACCACTTTAGCTGTCTCACTAGCTCTTGAGTTACGTAGAGACGTTTGGACGGATTGTCTGTCATGGGATCGAAATTGGACAGATACCAAGCCTGCAAGGAACATATCTTCAATCTTGTGTGGGGCAGTAGTTGATGCCATCAGACCTAGGAAATGTTGCATGTGATGGGCAGATACTGTGGTGTGAGGACAGAATGGTCGGATCACATGTTTTAACTTCTGTATTCATTCGGTTGGGAGAAACACACTCGCAAGAATGGAGTCTAGGCGTATACCTATATAGTCCACGACCTGAGTAGGTTGAAGGTGAGACTTCTTCATGTTGACTCTTAGACCCAGGCTTGTAAGGGTTTGATGAACAAACTCGGAGTCTTGGATGGCCTTTCAACAGAAAGCAGCTACGATCAACCAATCGTCTATGTACGGGAACACCGTGATGTTGTATAGACGAAGGTGAGCTGCTACCGGTGCCATGTACTTTGCTAACGTCCGCGGCGCAGTGGACAAGCCAAATGGAAGAGCACAGAATTGATAGGCAGTGTCTATGAATAAAAAGGTATTTTTGATGATGTGGGTGAATCGATATATTAAAGTAGGCATCCTTTAGGTCTATCACCACAAACCAGTCCTTTCTGTGGAGGAGGTGAATGATAGATTCCAGAGTGACCATTCGGAAGCACCTTGGACAAAGGTAGGTATTTAGTAGCCTGAGATCTAAAATAGGTCTGATGCTCCCATCTTTTTTGGGGACTGCAAAGTAGCAAGAGTAGAATCCGTCTGGGATGTCTCTGGAAAGCACAAGCTGAATTGCCTGCTTCTTTAATAGAGATTATATTTCCCCTTCTAGAGCCGGATCGTAGGATGTAATTTTGATATGGCCAATAGGAAGAAGTTCTGTGAATTCTAAAAGGTAACCAAATTGAATGATGGACAGAACCCAAGTGTCTTTGGTGATACGAGTCCAATTTTCCAGAAATGGGGCTAACCTAGTTTGAGAAGTGACTGATAGTATGGGTAGAAAAGAACTGTGACATTGGTTAAAGGAGAGTCAAGAATACTGTTTTCCCTTCTTCATAGGTTGATAGTAAGTCTGGCGGCGTTGGGAAGAAGTGTGAGACCTGAAAGGGACATTGGTCGAAGAGGATTGTGCCGATCTTCCTTGCACTAGTGGCCTATAAGGACGGTAAGGTTGACAGCTTTGCTGGTATTGTTGCTGCCCAAACTGTTTGCGGCACTGATACCTTTGAAATTTTGGCTGTTGTTATATTGTATATGACCTGTCTTCTTAATTTTGTGAAAGCTGTCCATGATCTAATCTGTTTTTTCGTTGAACAAGCCAGCTCCATCAAAGGATAACTCCTTATTCCTGAAGATCTCAATCACTCATGACATCTCAGAGAGATTGCAGACACTAAGGACTTCAAGGCAACCTCAGCTGCATGACGAGATGCTAACATCTGATGCTTAGTGACAGTTGAACTTTGGCACGGGCATTCAGAAGTGTTGTTCTAGAATCCTCAGGGGCTGCTTGGAGAGCAAGTAGCACCTTAGCCCAGAGTTGACTCTGATAAGCTCCCATAGTCATCTGATAGTTAAAAAGTCTCAGCAAAACAGATGCAGAATACATTCTATGCCCCAGGACATCCAGCTTTCTTCCCTCACAATTGGTAGGGGTGACTTTTGCCTTACTTCCAGTCCTGGATAAATTAGATTGAACAATCATCGAATTAGGAGCTGGGCGTTTTGATAGGAACGTGGTGTCATATCCATGGGTCCTATAATGGCCCTCCATCCTTCTAGAAATTTGCATAGATGTGGATGGCAAAGTCCAGGTGTCTTTAATGACATACATCATGGCAGAAATAAATGTCAGACTTAAAGGGTGAGTCTTTTCCTGATTGATGTCATCGAACACCAAATCTTGCTTAGGAGGTGGCAGTTGCTCAACCTCCAGCTGCAGTGACTTAGCCATACGAGATATCATTTGAGAATATGATGTGAAGTCCTGTGATGGAGAAGGTGGGCGTAGATCCCCCACATCTGAACCTGGGGTGTTTATATTTGGGGGGGTCTCCTCTGAGGCATCTGACAGGTCTTCCTCATCTCAGTCTGAGGCAGAGGAGGCTGAAGAACCATCTTGGAAAGAAGGAGAAGGTGATGGCGATATGTGACGTCTCCTTGATGTTTGGGTTGAAACAGAGTCTTTGGGAACTTGACAATCTTGAACAGTAGCAGGGTGACGCATGGCCGCAGGCACCGAAGCATTGGGAGCAGCCTGGGCTTTCTTTGAAGTCAATGCCAATTGTTTAGTGGTGTCTCAACCTGAAGACCAGTGGTTGGAGGACTTCGACACCAGAATGTCGACCTCATGGCTAGATCGACACCGACGATGTGGCGGTGGGGGAGATGGCGAAGAAGAGGAGGCATAGATGTATTTGCCTCTTCTGCGCTTTCCATGAGTCTCGGTGTCATAGTACGGTTTGACATGGAAGTCACTGTCCCTGTAACTACAATGATCAGCTCTACCATCCACCTCTACATAAATGGGATCTTCAGAACTATATCAAGCCAGATGCAGAGATGCACGGGAGAGCACAACCACCTCTCTATGCGAGGAATGCTGCCGAGGTGGAGAAATGTGCTTCCTTTTCTCTGTTCTTTCTTGGAGATGATCGATGTAAAGACTCCTCTGAGTTTGACCTCCTTATAACAGGCGCCCGCCCAGTAGACACAGGGCTAGAATGGGCAGAAACTAGGCTGGCGACATCGTCAGCCTGAATGTGACTCAGACTCAGAGAATGGCTCGGTCCCAATGCCGAAGCCTGAATCCTTTGAAGACGGATAGAATTGTTGCCATCCGAAAAGGATTTGGTGTCCAGTCGGTCTCTAGACAACTCTTCTAATATTGGAGAAGACACCAATGCAGAGACTAGGGGAAGATCACGGAGTCGATCCTTTGAAGAGGACTTAAACTGCTAGTCTTTCTTCTGTTTATTTGAAGATTTCTTTTTCTTTAGACTTTCCGAAGGTGTACGCTTTGGTGTCGACCCCAAAGCAGAGGCTGAAGATTTCTTGGCCACCGCTCCGAAGGTTCTTTTAGCTGACTTTGTTGGAGACTTCAGGGATGAAGTAGAAGGTAAGGACGAGGCTGGAGGATCGGGGCAAGTGGCAGGTTGAACTGGAGTGGATTCCATGGACTTAGTGGAGGGGAAAAGACTTTTCCCACAAAAAAAGCTCTGAGCCTCTGCTCGCAGGACTTCAAGGCAGGTCTGGAAAGTTTTTTTGCACTGAGAGCAGGTTTGGGGTTGATTATCCTCTCCTAAACAGTATAAACAGTGCTCGTGGCCATCAGTGATTGGAATTTTGGTGGCACAAGCAGTACAGCGTTTAAACGGGCCTGATGAGGCCATAAATGGGTTAATTCCCTGACATGTGAAGGGAAAGACCTGTCAAGCCGATGAAAAGCTGTAATAGATCGGGTTCGCTGATAAAACTCAAGTGAAGGCAATCAAGAATTGTAAATTGAAAGATAAAGTGAATTCAGTCCCTAGTCAAACTGAAAGCGTGTTATGAATGAGGCTATTAGTCCGTAGTGAAAAGGCAGGAAAACAGTAACAGTCCAGAGTCAAGCCAGGAGACAGCGTGCATAAAAGTCCATAAAGCAGAATCATAGCGTAGGGCAATCTAAAGTCAAATTAGGGGGGAGAATCAAGCAATATAAATTTCAGACCGAATTGTAACCAAAATGCAAAAGATTAAACAGCTCTAGTAAAGAGGTTCCAATCGCAACAGCAGTAAAAAGGAATTGAGGTACACGGGAGGGTGGAGAATGCGTGGTAGGGGACAATGTATTACTATGTTTCTTATTTAAGCTGTAGAATATTCTAAGGATCCAGCGCAAGCACAGGTTAAACCCAGTTGTGTGGATTCAGAGGCCACGTAGAAGAAGAAAAGGTTCACAATGAAAGTCTTGTAGAATATACAGTAATATGGTATTACAAACCTAATGTGATCAATCAATGTAGCTACAATATAAATGCTGTATGGTGTGTGATACATTATTTCCAAAAGTACACTCGTAATCACGTTCTTTGTTCTCAAGGATGCATTCAACAGCTCTGTGTAGAATGATACTGTGTCTACACAATACTGCATTTTCCTAAATTTGAGGAAAACACACTAGAAGATCACTTACAAACATATTCACTAGCTTCCATGCACAGGAATCCAATTTTGTGACTGGAAAAAGATGTGCATATTGTAGGCTACTTATGACATTGTTTTTTAATTAATTACAGAAACTATAACTGTGAAATGACATACTTTCAAAAAGAATAAGCTACTTGATGTTTTTGTTCATTTTGATGAAGGAATAAATTAAATCAGAAAACGGGCCTGCTCATCCAGTGAAGGATGCTATTTTGCATTGTTTCAGGGTTATGCTTCTTAACAAACAATGAGTTATTTCAACTGTGGAATATACATACCTGTAAAATTTCTAAGCCAATGACACTAATGTTAAAATACTTGTAAAGATTAGGATCTGGTATATAATCTGGGTTGTCTACTTCTGGTTGTACCCATTTTCCCCGATAATTGGGGTTTTTAATTATACGAGGTTTCCAAATGCCCTAAAAAAGAACATGCAAGGCAAGTTTGAATACTACTTTCAACCCCCATTCAATCAACATATTCATCAGCCATCATGAATCTGAGATCTAGTGAAACATACATACATACATACATACATACATACATACATACATACATACATACATACATACATACATACATACATACATACATACATACATACATACATACATACATACATACATACATACATACATACTGTACACACTAATATATATATTAGAATTGACTAATATCATTTGGCTATACTGTAGTTAGTGATATGTTATTTATAATTTTGAGTGCAGGGCCTTTGCAGTGACTGCCAAGAGATATTTCAATAAAAACAACCACCTACTATATTAGCTTGCACTTAAATGATTTCAGGGCCTCCTGACTAGAAAAAAAATTCCTTTTGTGTTGCTGTTGTTGCAAAAATGTTTTTTCCTGTTTCTGGAGCAGCATCTTTTGCATGAAAGGGTGTTGCAGGGTCCCTCAAGTTACTGATGTAAAAAACAAAACCCAAGACAACTACTATACATTCAATCACTGTCTGTATTGTTGTTTTTTCAAATGGCAAGCACTGGAAACTGTACTAAAGTACAATCTACCCCATCAATCTACAGTAATCTACCCCATTATATACAGTCAGGAGATGGCTTTCAAGGGCAGGGGAGGAAGGAGTGCCCTTGAGAAACTAAGTAAGGAAAACAAAAGTAAAAAAGTAAGCATAAATGAATAATGGCTGTAGGAAAAGAGTAAGGAGGCATAAGGTCAAGGGAATACACTGGTGATGAATTGGAAAGGAGGCATAGAGTAAAATACTGAAACTAACAGGAAAGCCTTCATTTAGTACAGGTGATCTACAGAGCCACTAAGCTTGCAAAGTTTAGTGTCTACTGTATTTTAACTTAATTGGAAATACAGTGTCTTAATGTTGAATGTCTCTGAAAGCAGTCACTTTATTTATTACATAAATATATATTCTTACTCTGTACGCAGGGTTTGCAATCAATGGTGGTGCCCATTCCCCGTCCATCTCTTCATCCCAGTCATAAGGTTTTGACACATTTGGATCAGGAATTCTTTCTGGCTGATCCCAATCCTAAAACAATAATAATCTTAGAACTGCAAAGCTAGAAGGGACCCTATGGATCGAATCCAGCCCCTGTCCTATAAGGAGGGGCACAGTGAGGAATTGACTCCCAGCCTCTGACTCTATGGCCAGATGCCTAAACCAATGAGCTTTCCAACAATACTTCTCAAGATGTTCAATTAAGACTCTTAACTGTAACATGCATTTTAACAGGAAAGATAATTAAACAGTATTATTTTTAGATGCCCATTTAATATTGTTGGTTGGTGGGTAACTTTATAATAACCCATTCCTATCTTATTTTCCATTCTGTTCTATGATTCAATACATCTTTAATTGTAGTTGCACTCTTTTAATTCAACCAGTGCCTGTTTCTATTAAACGATGAATGCATATATTTAATTTAAGCTATCATAGATTTGTTTGGCATAATTATCTGATGGGCGTCCAAATCTTTGAATCTTCAAAATAGTGACTCTGAACTCTAACAAAGACCATGATGTCAAATGTTTGGGTGCTTCCATACATTTATAGCCACTGTATATTTTAATGCACGTTTTTCAATTCTACCATACACAAAGCAAAAAACACACACCACAAGACCATGTTTTGTTAAATCCCTTTGTCTGTAATACTGTTTTTTAAGAATACTGTGCCCTATAAATGGAGGATGGAATTTTTATTATCTCCAAATTTTTCAGAACATGGACCTACAGAATTCTAGTTACTTGCCTGAACCAAATCTTTGTTTCTATTGTGCAAAAGTTGGAAGTTCTATAATTGTGAACTAATTACAGAAACCTCTTCCTCATGCCTTTGCTCTTTGAATCTGGAATGTGACATGTCGTTAAGATAGTTAATTTGAATCATCAGAAAAAGATGGGATAAAATCACTTCCCTTGTTTGTCCTAGTAAGTTTAGAAGAAGGCAGTTTTTCACTTCGTGTTGTTGTTTAGTCATTTAGTCGTTTCTGACTCTTCGTGGCCCCATGGACCAGAGCATGCCAGGCCTGCCTGTCTTCCACTGCCTCCTGGAGTTGGGTCAAATTCATGTTGGTAGCTTCGCAGACACTGTCTAACCATCTCATCCTCTGTAGTCCCCTTCTCCTCTTGCCTTCACACTTTCTCAACTTCAGGGTCTTTTCCAGGGACTCTTCTCTTCTCATGAGATGGCCAAAGTACTGGAGCCTCAGCTTCAGGATCTGTCCTTCCAGTGAGCACTCAGGGTTGATTTCCTTCAGAATGGATAGATTTGTTCTCCTTGCAGTCCAGGGGACTCTCAAGAGTCTCCTCCAGCACCACAATTCAAAAGCATTCATTCTTCGGCGGTCAGCCTTCTTTATGTTTCAGCTGTCACTTCCATACATCCCTACTGGAAAAACCATAGCTTTGACTATGTGGACCTTTGTTGGCAAGGTGATGCCTCTGCTTTTTAAGATGCTGTCTAGGCTTGTCATCGCTTTCCTCCCAAGAAGAAGGCGCCTTTTAATTTCAGGGCTGCTGTCTCCATCTGCAGTGATCATGGAGCCCAGGAAGATAAAATTTGACACTGCCTCCATATCTTCCCCTTCTTTTTGCCAGGAGGTGATGCGGCCAGTGGCCTTGATTTTGTCTAGGCTTGTCATCGCTTTCCTCCCAAGAAGAAGGCGCCTTTTAATTTCAGGGCTGCTGTCTCCATCTGCAGTGATCATGGAGCCCAGGAAGATAAAATTTGACACTGCCTCCATATCTTCCCCTTCTATTT